TGCTGAAGGCAAATCCCTTTTATTTTCTCTAAGTTGACCCTCTCCGAAAAAGAGCATCAACAGTTTGGCGCCGTCTGTGGGAAACGATACTTGAATCCCATTTTTCTCTACCAGCCCAGCTGGCTCCTTCTCCTATCCGGCCCCGTCGCCTCTTTTTCACTCCACACTCAGCTATGCCTACTGAGGATAGCCAGGGACTCAGCACCACACCCCCCAGGGGGGTACCTCCGAGAGGAGACCTTCAGCAGATGCCAATCTCCAGGCAGAACTGGAGAGCCTCCGCGCCAGTGTCACCAGGATGTCTGTGAAATGTGACCATCTTCATGCTAAGAACGTCGAGCTCGAGCATGACTACCGCACACTGAAGCGTAACTGGGAGATGAATCGGGCCCAAGGCTCCCAACGCAGCCTTACCCGGGAACCTGTGCGTACCCAGCCAAACTAGCCGGAGCACTCCCACCACAATGTCCCGATCCAGCCTAGGCCCAGCAAGGGTAAAGGCCCCCTCCATCCGGAGCCGACCAAGTCGCGGCTTCTCCGCATCTCCCCTCCAAGGAACCGACCCCATGAATCAACAAAGGTCTACAGGGATTGCAGGGACCTTATCCGGGACCGTCAGACTGAACCCCTTCTTATCCCCGTTAATCTCCAAGACCCAAAGGTGACACACCTAGGCCCCCCACCAAAGCCTACCCAACTACCCCTTGGAGAAGGTATAGGGGACTCGGAGAACTGGGGGCAGGATTACTCAGAAGACTACGAGTCTTATCACACCGAGACGTTCGAAGAACTTTATCCAGCCCATGGCCACCCACACACCGGACCCCCAGCACCCGAGACTCTCCCTCATACCGACCCGGCAATGAGGCTTCTCTTCAATAAAGTCCGACGCCTAGAGAGCGAACAGCAGCGCAACCATCAACCCCTCTGGGCAAAGCCACGACCTGGGCCCTTTACCGAACGCATCCTTAATTATCACCAGGAGAAGGACATGCAGCCACTCCGCATCGCCTTCTACACTGGCACGGAGTATCCTCTCACCCACATACATTCTTTCCAGTCTGCCTTGGGATGCAAGGGCCTCACTAACGAAGGCATGTGCCTCCTCTTCCCTTCCACTCTCAGTGGCGCGGCCCTGAACTGGTTTTACAGGCTGAACCCCAGCACCATCAACACATTGGACAGTCTAAAATAGGCTTTCCTGGACCATTTCATGATCCAGACCGATTGCCTCTACTCCGCAGACGACTTATACATGCTTCGACAGGGTGAGGACGAGCCCCTTCGGGAGTATGCAGCCAGGTTCAGCCACGAATACTCCCGCTGCCCAGATACTGATGATCGTGCTACCTTCGGTGCTTTCAAGAGTGGCCTCCGAGAGTCTAACTTCCGGTACCTGGTGCACAGCAACCCTTGGAACACATATGCTGAGCTCATGAAGCAGGCAGCAGTTCACGCCAAGGCCGAGTATTTCAACTCCAAGCGCAGCCCGGCAACCCCAGCGCGTAATCCTTTTGCTGATCCTCCGCTTGCTTCGGTACCCATCCTAGCTCCACCTCAACATTCTGCCCCTACACCAAGCACCCAGGGTGCCCAGCACCCCAAGAGGAAGGATAGCTACTAGCATACCTTCAGCAACAACAAGCAGGGCAGACATGGCAACCACCACCAGTCTAGTGGAGGCAACCCCCCCAGGACAGGTGATCGGGCCACACTCCCATTCTCACCCAAACCCAGATTCGAGGTCTTCACCACCCTTAACACTACCTATGAGAATGTCCTGGTGCACGAGGCTCCTATCATACCCCAGCCTCCACCTCGAAAATCGGGTAGCAAGCCTATGCCTAACATAGGTGTCTTCTGTCTCTTTCATCAGTTCGGTGGCCACGATACCGAATCTTGTGTTGCCTTGCGCAACATTATTGAGGGACTTATTCGTGAGGGGAAGCTGGATAAATATGTGCACAACCTCCCACCCCCACCTAACCCTCACCAACGGCAGATCAACATGATCTCAACCATCAGTGGTGGCCCTACCTTGGCCGGAACCTCCAACAACTCCATCAAACATTATGTCCGCTCCACCTATGCGCACCAGGTCTTCAACACTGAGCAAGGACGCTTGCCAAAGACACAAAAAACAGGCTGGGCCCCCATTACCTTCTGTGAGGAGGAGGAGCGTGGCGTTATCCTCCCTCATAATGACCCAATCATTATCCGAGCCGACATCTCTAATTTCGACGTTGGACGCATCTTGGTGGACACTGATAGCTCGGTCAGTGTAATGTTTGCTAATGCCTTCAACGAGCTCCAGGTCCCGTCTCATTTGCTCGACCGCAGTGTCACACCCCTAGTAAGCTTCTCGGGCGATGTGGTCCAGCCTATTGGGAGCATTCATCTCCCTATCTCTATTGGAACGACCCCTCAGCGAAAAACAGTCACCACTCCCTTCCTTATTATTGATTGCCCCACAGCTTACAACGTCATCCTGGGGCGCCCTACCATGGCCTAGATGAAGGTTTTCATTTCCACACATATGTTACTGTTGAAATTTCCTACGCCCTATGGCACAGGCATGGTGCGCGGCGATCAACTTGGCACCCGAAGTTGCTATGCTTCGGCAGTGAACTCTACCAATCGCCAACATAGGGGTGAGGCCCTAGTTGTAACCCGGGCCCCAGCCCCACCTCGAGCTGGCACTGAGCGCCCAGAAGATCCTAGGGAGGAGTCTGCCACCCAACAGGCCGAACCTGTGGAGGACTTCAAACTGGTCACCCTTCACGAGGACATCCCTGATCGACAGGTCCGGATCGGCACCTCCCTTTCACAAGAGCTTCGCTCTGATCTTGTTGCTTTCCTCCACCTCAACTCTGAAGTCTTTGCTTGGTCTTACAACGATATGCCGGGCATATCACCTGACGTCATCTCCCATAGGCTAAGCATTAATCATGCCGTCCGACCCGTTCGGCAGAAGCGTCGTGCTTATGACCCAGAGCAGTATGAGGCCATGAAGGCGGATGTGGATAAGCTGAGCACCATTGGATTCATCAAGGAGGTGGATTATCCCACATGGCTAGCCAATGTGGTAATAGTACGTAAACCACGGAAGGGTTGGCGCATGTGCGTAGACTACACAAATCTCAACCGGGCCTGCCCAAAGGATAGTTTCCCCCTACCCCGCATTGACCAGCTAGTTGACGCCACGGCTGGCCACGCCCTTCTCAGCTTCATGGATGCTTACTCAGGGTACAACCAGATCTTCATGCACCCTGAGGACCAAGCTCATACCTCCTTCATCACTGACCGTGGTCTTTACTGCTACAAAGTCATGCCCTTCGGCCTCAAGAACGCCGGGGCTACGTATCAGCGTCTGGTGAACAGCATCTTCGCTCCACTAATTGGCAACACCATGGAGGTATATGTTGATGACATGTTGGTCAAGAGTCGCACTGCTGACCAGCACATCCCCAACCTCTCTGCGATGTTCACCATCTTGAAGCAGTATAAGATGCGGCTCAACCCCACCAAGTGTGCTTTTGGAGTGGCCTCCGGCAAATTCCTTGGCTTCATGATCAACCAAAGGGGTATTGAGGCCAACCCGGAGAAGATCCAGGCTATCTTGGACATGACGATACCCAAGACAGTCAAGGATATTCAGAGCCTTACCGGGCGTGTCGCAGCCCTGACCAGATTTATCTCTAAAGCCACTGATCGTTGCGCCCCATTCTTCAAGGCACTTAAGGGTAGCAAGCGCAGCATTACCTGGACTGCCGAATGTGACCAGGCATTCGGCGAGCTCAAGGCGTACATGAGCCGAGCCCCTTTATTGTCAACCCCTGAGTCTGGGGACGTCCTCACCATCTACCTCTCTGTCTCGGCTACAGCGGTTAGCTCAGGGCTTCGCCCATACGAAGGTGCTTAGCATCCGGTGCACTATGTGAGCAAAGGATTGCAAGATGCGGAGGCTCGGTACCCAGACATTGAGAAACTTGCTTT